CCCAGTAAGAGTAGAAGATAAATCACTGTATAATCAAACCAAGTAAGAGCTGAAGATAAGTCACAGTATAGTGAAACTAAGTAAGAGTAGAAGATAAATCACAGTATAAACAAACTAAGTAAGAGTAGAAGATAAATCACAGTATAAACAAACCATGTAAGTGTAGAAGATAAATCACTGTATAATCAAACCAAGTATGAGTAGAAGATAAATCACAGTATAATCAAACCATGTAAGTGTAGAAGATAAATCACTGTATAATCAAACCAAGTAAAAGTAAAAGATAAATCACAGTATAATCAAACCAAGTAATAGTACAAGATAAATCACATTATAATCAAACCAAGAAAGAGTAGAAGATAAATCACAGTAAAATCAAATCAAGTAAGTGTTGAAGATAAATCACTGTATAATCGAACCATGTAAGAGTAGAAGATAAATCACTGTATAATCAAACCAAGTAAGAGCTGAAGATAAATCACAGTATAATCAAACCAAGTAAGAGCTGAAGATAAGTCACAGTATAATCAAACTAAGTAAGAGTAGAAGATAAATCACAGTATAAACAAACCATGTAAGAGTAAAAGATAAATCACAGTATAATCAAATCCAGTAAGAGTAGAAGATAAATCACTATATAATCAAACCAAGTAAGAGCTGAAGATAAATCACAGTATAATCAAACCAAGTAAGAGCTGAAGATAAGTCACAGTATAATCAAACTAAGTAAGAGTAGAAGATAAATCACAGTATAATCAAACCATGTAAGAGTAAAAGATAAATCACAGTATAATCAAACCATGTAAGAGTAGAAGATAAATCACTGTATAATCAAACCAAGTAAAAGTAGAAGATAAATCACAGTATAATCAAACCAAGTAAGAGTAGAAGATAAATCACATTATAATCAAACCAAGTAAGAGTAGAAGATAAATCACAGTATAATCAAATCAAGTAAGAGTAGAAGATAAATCACTGTATAATCGAACCATGTAAGAGTAGAAGATAAATCACAGTATAATCAAACCAAGTAAGAGTAGAAGATAAGTCACAGTATAAT